GGGTGGAGAACCCTCGCTCCGCGCAAGGGAGATGATCGCACCACGTTGTGTTAAAATGGTCAAGCACCCTCGAGGCAGTTACACAGTGCTTACAACTGTCTGGAAGTGAAGTACCAGATNGTGTTTTTCTTGCCCTGCCATCCCCGTTTGTGTTGCTACAAAGCAGCCGAGGATCGTTCGCGTTGGTGGGAGTCACGCATACTCTCGATGTGCCTTGTGTAGACAGCATAGCTCGTGAGCGCCAGAGAGCACAAACAGGTTCTTTGGCTCTGACATTTACACTACCGAATAAACTGCAAAGAGGGCAGAACAACGGTGTTGTTTGTTTTTTGTTTGTTTTTCTCCCATCATTGGACTCTGTCGTCTGCCCCTCTGGCCCCTATCCTCCACTTCTACTAGCTAGACGACCCAACCGGGGTCACATAGGAGGGGGGGGTTGGACCCCCTCCTGCGGTTCATGCCTGAGGTATTTTTATCGCGAGAAGGGTTCAGCAATCCCTTCCCTCGCGACTTACGAAGTCGATTATGGTTTACTAACAAACGAGCTTTCCAGCGCGTCGCTTTCATCCTAGACCAGGATTTATTTAGTGAGAAAAAAACTCTCTCTGCCGGGACTCGAACCCATGACCTGGCCCTTAGCAGGCTGCGAGGCTACCCACTAGACCACCGGGGCGACCGGTGATTGTGATGTGAGAGCCTGGTCCGGTGAGAACCCGGCGTGCTCCGTCCCGGCTTTGTAGGGATGCGAGGTCAATGGTCTAACGACGGCATGCACGACTATGAGTACACCCCCCGCCCCCCTCTCGCCCTCTCCCACCCTCTCTCTTTCTCTCTCTGGTGTGCAGCTGCTGGAGGTGCATGTAGACAAGGTGCAGCAAGGCCGGCGGGAAGCCGAGACACCCGAGGATAAGGAGGCGAGAAAGCTTCTCGGCCTCACCCTCTGCAACCGGTCAGTGGCCAGCTTTAAGCTTGGCGACTGCTACAGCGGCATGGTCAGTACAATGTACAGCAGTACGTCAATAACAAACCACCCCAGATGTCCTTGTGGAGCCCTTCCGGAGTATGTTACCGTCGAAAACAACGGAACTAAGTACACCGCGGGTGGCTGCCTGCTACCATCCATACACGTAGTCAGAATGGTGTGCCGAAGAGTGTCAATTTTACTTGGGACCCCGACTTGTGCCCTGAAGTTTTTATCGGGACTATTCAACCGGCACTGTCGACCCCTCCCCGTTGCTGTTTTATGAACGCTGGTATGCATAAATGTATGCATAAATGTATGCAAAGATAGACGGACCATTCGGTAATTGCAACGTTTGGACGGGCCCGGTGTGCTCGAAGGGCAAACCGGGCTCCTTCCTTCTGTGTTGGCGATGCACCCACGTCCCACGGTTTGCTCCGCGGTATTTTGTGCTGGGCTTTGTTGTTTGTTGGTCGTTGTGACTCGGAGGACAGCGAGACGCGGAGCGGGCGGCCTCGGAGTGCCCCTGCCCCATGGCCCAGGAACAACTGAAGCGGAGCAAGGACTACCTTCAGGTGAGGACGAAGTACGAAGAGAGACATGCCCACAAGGACCTGCTGCTGGTCCGTGCGTTTGTCCCCACGACCCCCCGCTGCTAGGGGGGGGGGCGTGGACTTGAAACAATTTTATGAATGCTGGTAGCATGCGCCGCCCGGTCGCCACCATTACTGGCGGCGTCTTTTCATTGGTCAGCCGGTTTGTGCCGTCCATCTGGCGCCAAAGGTACACAAATGCAGGTGGGTAGGTCTGTCGAAAGGGTTCGTAGAAAGTTTTTCTGTTGCAAGTGTGGACGACACCCTTTCTTGTAGGCGTCGGCGATGTGGAGTCAGTGAAGCGTGTACTCCAAGGCACGTTGAGCCTATTGTGCCGTGTTTGCTGCCCC